GGACATAGAAATCCTCATCCGCCAGCCAGGATGGGCACCACACGGCAAGAAGCTGCTGCGACGAAGGCTTGCAGCAGCCAGGACACCATGCAAGACGAGGTCAAGCAATTGCGCGTGCAAAGCATCAGCAAGAACGGCCGCCTTGAGCTTGGGCTCGCTCCCTTGACCTGCTACAGCTACAGTAGTTGCACACGAAAAGGAGGGGTGGGGGGATCAACAAAATATTTGATGAGGATCAAGACACAGGGATCAAAAACTACCTATGAGTGAAGATCTTGCCTATGACAGAGGATACTGGATATTGCGAACTGCAGTATTTTGGGTCGCGTAGAGGCTGCAGATACTGTAACTTGCAAAATTCCGAAAGCGTAAAGGCTGCAGATACTGTCATTTGCAGCATTTTGGCCGTGTAGAGGCTCCAGATACCATAAGTTGCAGCATTTTGGCTCGCGCGCAGGCTCCACACACTGCAAGTTGTACCATTCTGGGCAACGTAAAAGCTGCAAATGCTGTGAATTACAGCATTTGGAACTTCTTACTTAGAGTTTGCAGATACTGTAAATCACAACGTTTGGGGCTGATCTAGACCTTTGAGATGGAGCTTTCTTAGCGCTTGCAGATACGGTAAATCACAGCATTTGGAGCTCTTTCGAGCTTGCCCATGCTGTGATCCCCTATCAAATTCCTTTTTGACCCCTTACCCACGTTTTTTCATGCTTCTCCCAAAAAGGAGCTAAAAAACCTCTCAGCAGATGGCAAGCCAGAAGCCACGCCTTGTCCGAAGCTCCCAGCACCACCGGCAACGTGTCGAGTGCGCGCAAGGTAAGGGGTGAAATCAAATGGCGAAGAATGTGTGCAGCTGCGATAGCCTCCAGGTCATCCTCAGTCAGTTGACCCAAAGTCAAGATCTTAGCCAAAACTAGCAGCGAATATGGTCTGTGTGCAGTTTGTCTGTGTGCACCTGATTTGCCAAAAGCATGCAATCCGACTCGGTCACAGCATGAGTGGGCTCAATTGAACTTCCTGTCTTGAGTGTGAGGCAGTTCACAACCTGCTTCAGCTCTGACGACAGCAGCGGTTGGCCCAAACTTAGCGTGCTCAATCCATTCAGCCAGCGCAAGGTGTCTGAGACGTCTGCCATCCCAATGCCACACACCTGAAGGTCTCCAATATCAGGTACAGCCTGCTCTAACAACTGAATGTTCTCCTCAGACGGCAAGAAGAAATCTGGCAACTTCACCATCACTGTGTTGATACCACCGAGCCGAGCTGTTGCCAGCTCGGCAAGGCACCACTTACCTGAACTGTTGGGGCGCCCCTTCATAACCATTGAGGATATGAAAAGCTAATGTATACAGCTGCTCTGAAGTTGTAATGTTAAGTTCTCTCAGAGAAACAAGGAAACTCTCAAACAAACAAGGAAAACGTTTGCATGTTGCTCAAGTGTATCCAAATCACGCATCAACACGCTTGGACTTGCAAGCAAGACCAACGTCTCAACTTGCTTGGTCAGAACTGGCAGGAGCTGCGTGAGGTCTGCGAGGTTGTCAGCATCCAAAAAAATGTGCAGCCAGACAGTCTAAGCTCCATTTTCATCAGCCTGGCGAGGCTGCCTGCAGACCGCTTGTGATGGGACAGGAAGAAATCAAACTGCTTCTTGTACCTCCTCCGAGCGTGCAACGCCAGCAAAGCAAGTGAGACCCCTGCCAGGACTAGCAGCAGCAAGATCATTGCCACGCTCAGCAGAATCATGGATGCTTGCGTGGCATCCATCGAATCTTGGGGAAGACCCTTCATCAAGAAGGAGCCCTGAAGGACCACCAGCAAGAAGACCGAGCAAAGCACCATGTCCGTATAGGCCGCTGAAGGGAGACGCCAGGGCTTGTAGATTGCCACAACAGTTGTAGTGAGAAACAGCAGTGACTGAATCAATAGCAAGCTAAGACCAGGGGTGGGCAGCACCGGTGCGATCGCAAACATCAAGTTGCGGGCCATGACAAAGACGGCAAAGCCCTCGCAACTTGGCCGGAAGCGCAAAATCAAGAATGAGAAAAGGCGCACAAAACGCTGGTCCCCGGCTAGAAGACGTCGTGGGAACTGGAGCAGGATGGCCCAGAAGGCCAGCGTCAGAAAGCCTACTGGCAGAAGGGATAGGATTCCTCCAATCAAACACAAATCCAGATGATCATCGGTAAAGTTGCAAAGAGCACTGATGCCTGATGCGATGGTTGACGATCCGTTTGGGTGTGGCTGGCATTGGAACGGTTCTAGAGCTGCTGTGCAGAGCACAATGAAGAAGAGTAGCGCCAGCGAACCCACCATTCGGAAGAAAACATTCAATTGCAAGCCCTCTCTGCGCCATGCCAAGGCACAGCCCAAGTGAACCAACACAGGCCCAAGCAGCAGCGATGCGGGCAGCATCACAGTCTGGACCAGGAACTGTGTTGTCGCAGGCAACGTCGCGACGCAGGAAAAAGCGAAGAAGGCTCTTAGAAACTCTTCCAATGACAAGATGCTCAATGATTGCAACATCTGAAGGAAGGGAACACCCCACGCAATGTCAAGCTTCTGGATCACGACCACCAACCTGACCATCTGATGCAAAATCCGAAGGCTATAAACAATTGAGACAAAGCCATGAAAGCCTTGGACAGAATTCACATGCAATCGAATCCCTTGTTGGGCAGAGGATTTGATGGTGTATTTTAAGGGGGAATACCAAACCAAGCTCCAAGCTGGCGAGCAGGGTGGCCTGGGGCCAACTAATACAAACTCGGATGCCCTTTAGCCCTTAAAACATCACATCCGCAGACGCCAAACCCGCGTACTCTTTCTTGTCTAAACTCATGACATGTCAGTAATGCTCTATCAATGAAAGCCTGATGCAATCAAGCAAGCAGCTGCAGGCAGACCACCAACTGGCTGGCAAAGACGGAAGCGTTTAGGAGGCCAGCTTGCGTTTGAGTCTGGATGTAGTGCTCCTTGTCCTGCCGTAGCAGCATGAAGTGGAGACATCCCGTTCCAAGAAGTATCACCAAACCGGTTAGAACGGAGAGGATGTAGTCCCCGTCGCCACACTCCTCACAGCTTGCGCCAGCGGCGCGCAAGCCCTCCAAACAGGCCCCGCAAGCTAAGCTGCGATTGTCACGCCCTGAAACGCAGCTTCCAGGAGGGCCGCCTGAGCACCTCGATTCATCGCCATAGCACCTGAAAACAGAACCGGGATTTTCTGTGCTGGAGAAGAAGCCGGGAAGCAACTCAAGTTGATTGGATCCAGGGCAATTGGTTCCCTCAGAACACGGGCCACCACCACCCACCTGTTTCCGCTGCTGAGCTGTTCGCGGCTCGTGGTCCAAGCAGTTCCGTTCCCACATGGCTGGCATTCCGACATGCCCGGCAGGTCTGCGTACGTTCCTGGAGTGCAGGTTACGCAGCCTGCAGCACCAATCAAACTTGTTGCTCTGCCAAGCTCGCGCTGGGCACAAAATGAAGTCCCAGACAAGCTTTGATAGGTACCTGGGCTGCAGGACTTGCATGTGTAAGTCGGTCCAGAATCATCCCATAAATAAGTGGAGGCCATCCCAGCCGGGCAAAGGTCGCAGCTAGCCGCATCAGACCGCAAGGAAACATGCATGCCTCGTCCATCTACAATGCCAAAGCCTCTGTGTCTCTGGGCACCCAAGGCAACCATTCACTTCGTTTTGTTCGTGTGTGGTCGCACAGCACATCGAATGGGGAGCGCCCTGGCGCCCGGGTTTGCACCAAGCTGACAAGCCCATTGATGGTGTTGGGGTCAAACTGCATGTTGCCGAGCAACTGGTACACCTGCACAGGGGTCAGCTCGGCCCTGTGACACATGCTTGTGGTGTTACGTGCCCACGAAAAGGTGCCTGCTGATGAAGCCTGGGCCCGTCTTCCGAGTGATTCTCACAGCATGCTGGACTCTGGGCATGTTGAATGTGAAAATGGCCATTGCAAACATCCTCCATGACGTCGTTGTCGCCGCCGCTGCCGTGGTCCGTTTCAGTGGGAGCAGGAGCAAAAACAACCATGATCCACTCGTTCATTCAGTTGTTCATTCATTCCAGCTCTTGCACGAGTCAGCTGTATGGTTTCGCTTTTTGATGGGCAATGATTGGACCAACTGCGGAAGCGTGGGAAAATCTAGATGAAATGGGCGCAAAAGAAAAGAAAGAAAGTCACGCCCCCTGCCGGAGGATACTTCACCGCGAGCTGCAAACATGAGTTGTTCTCTCTGCGAGCAACCAGGGCTCACAATAGTAAACTGAAACCTGAACCCGATGCAGATATGCGACATGTAATTTGCATACCCGTCACACACGACGTAATACGCAGCACGCGCAGTAAAAATGCTCTCTACTCGCCACTCCACTTGCCTCTGTACGCTCCAGTCTCCATTCCTCACCCACCACTGGAAATTCCCAAAGGACCTTTTCGCTCCACTGGGGCCAGAGTCGAAGAAAAAATGGTCCTGCAAAGTACAGTTGACAAGGGTTTCGAAACCGTGCCTCCCAACAACGGTGAACAAGCTAAAGGCCTGTAAACAAGTGTCAGACGAAGGAAAGTACAGTCACAAGCCACAGCGTTACCCAACGGAGGGGCGTGTGGCGACAGGAAATGGATTTGAGACGTGGGCCCTTTGTGGCACGCAATGGAATCGTTGGCTTCCTGAGGTGTGGCCAGGTTTTCACGGTGTGCGAAGAGAAGCCCGGCCAGGAGGGCACGGTTTTCCTCAAGTTGGCCGACGGAGATGGATGGGTCTTTACCCGGAGCTGCCTTCCAGCTATAAGAACCGGTCGTCAAGTACATAAAGCTGCTCAGTGTTAATCGCCAACGTCATCATCGAAGTTGCTGTGTGCGGTGAAGTAGCAGTAGCAATAGAGCAAACGTGGGAGGAGGAGCAGTGTTAATAGTAGTAAGTAGTAGTGGTGGTAGCAGTGCTAGCAGAGGCACCAGCAGCAGCAGGAGGAGTAGTAGTAGTAGTGGCGGTCGTAGTAGTAATAGCAGTAGAGGTGGTGGTGGTGGTGGTGGTGGTGGTGGTGGTAGCAGCAGCAGCAGCAGTACTTGCAGTAGTATCACGGTCCGTGTCTGGCCATGGTATTAGCCCCAGCATTTTTTAAAACTTTCACGCTTCGAACCTGCATTTCGGTAGCAGAGACATGCATCGGCATAGCGCGGTCAAAAACGCTCGCTTTGAAAAAGCGTCGAATCTTGATTTTGCATCTTTTGATGTCCATGCGCGTGAAAACGCAGATTCGGCAATATCTTATGTGAAAACTTTGTGAAATGTGCCAAAAGCGGTCTTTCTGAGCTTTCCTTATGTTTTATTTTGCATTGTTCCGTTTTTAAGTTCTCCTTGTTTAAGTTTTCACATCGCAAAACGTTTTCAAACCCTCTGCTTCTGCGCGTCCGACCTTTTTTCACAGCTTATCCCCTTGGCCTTACGGGTGGGGAAAATGGCAAACGTTTCTTTTTTTCGACCTGCTTCGTTCGCTACTAGGCATGCAAAATGCTTAAAAGAAACTTGCGAAACCCTAAGGACCCTTTATATCAACGAAACAAACCTCATACTGTGCGGCCACACCAAACGATGATAATTTTGTCCATCCCCAAGAGCATTTCCCACAGACATGCCAAAACAATACTAACGTCCATCCCAGTGAGCATCCATTTTCCCAAACCACGCATGCCCAAGCGAGACCCAGGGGCTGACTTTGGTCAATGACGCTGCTTTGAAGCCGGGCACTCCTGAAGGAACTGTGCAGCAACCGAGCGCAGGCCACAGAGTCTAAGCCTGGCTCTGGAAGCATGCTTCAAGCAGAGAAGATTTGTATCCAACTACTTTTGCTGAAGCGCTGGCCTGAATCTTGAAGTGAGCCCGAAAGTACAGAAAACAAAACAGTAAGTGATCTGGACAGGAGTGAAGCCATCAAGTACTACCACCATTGGATGCGACAGGTTCCAATGAAAACACACGTGATGCAAGACTAATGGTCGGCTCATGGAAACGGGTAAGATGAAGCAAGCAGGGCACGGGAAGAACTAGAAGCCGTTCAGCACGAGCTTGCCCTGCTTGAAGCAGGGCCCGGAGCTGGAGGATTGACTAAGCATTCCCATCCATCAAAGCCATGTTTCCCTTTTACGAAGTCTTTCGCCCTTTCCCTCCGGATCACAGCTGGCATAGCAACTCTAACATTGCAGGCCCAATGAACAATCCCACCTGCACCTAATACTGCATTGCAGAACAAAACCAATAAGCGCTTCTTGTTGTTGCAGCAAGCAACTTTCAAAGCAGGGCATTCCCTCACTCACTCCGCTAGTCACTTGTTGTTTCCACCACCCACTCACCCACCCATCCACCTACTCACTCCTTCACCCACATACACGAGAGTGCCCGAGCACCTGGCTTTGATTCTGGTTGCGCGCGTCTGCATATATATCTGCTATGAAAATGGCATGAAAACTGCTGGGTTGGCGCGTATAGCAAGGACTTGGATAACCACGTGCTAGCAACCATGACATGAGAAACCGTTACAGAGCCTAACCCGTGCTGAATCGAGTCCGTAGAATGCTGGCCTTGAAAGCTTGGGCGCGCAGATGGCTGCTTCCGAGACTATGCATCTCATTGACGCCCGGCAGGGTCTTCTTGTTGCCCTGAAGCCACTCGTCTTGATTGTACTTGGGAAAAATGATTGGCTGCGGGTCCCACAACTCTTGATTTGGAAGCCAGCAGAAGGCCAGAAGCCGATGCCTTGCGGCGAGAGTTGCTGTCCACTTGTTCGTATCCATAATGCCGATAGCAATGGGCATCCAATATGCTACAGACCACCGCATGATAGCGTCGGTGAACCAGCCCCTCCCCCGCATCAAGACCGGAATGCATAAGGACATGTTGCGTCGGCAAGACGGTCCAATCCACCATCGGTTGTCCGAGCAGTTCGCGTAGAACCGACCCCTGTCTTCCAACACGCCCACTACATCACCTGGACTAAGGGGTCAACGGCACTAGTCTTGGCCATCAGTACCGCTAGGATATTGATTAGCATTACTCGTAGTGTTGCAGCAGACTGGCAGTAATCTCATAAACTTCTGAAGAGCACGGCCTTGCTCTAGGCTGCCTAGTGTGAATGCGTGGCAGAAGCACCTCCAGCATTGAAGGCTTGGCGCGCCTCCCGCCTCCCTTTGGTTAACGTTACGGAGCGTTACCTCAAACTTTCTTGCTGCTTCAAGCTGTAAGGCGCGAGGTCCGGGGTCCTAAATCACTGCCAGCCCGCTACCGGAACTAGTAGTGCTGACATGACCAAAATGGTCACATGTTCTCGCTATGCTTTTTCATGTGAATATCGCGGGTCCACTGGGTATGGACAACGGGTACTGTGGCAACACATATCGCTAAAGCACACGGGGGTTTGAGATACGGAAATTCAGCAATGGCCTGTCTGTTCCCTGTAGTTCTGCATCCACGACGTCTCGGTCCAGGCTGTGCCTGTCTCATTGCACAACGCCAAGTCTGCATTCGGAAAGTCGGTCGTTTGATCAAAATGCTCGCTCGGGTTGAAGAATTCCGTGTTGTACGACCTGTAGAACTCCAAACTGAGACCAGACGCTTCAAAGGCTTCCGCTGCTAGCTTCTGTGTGGCGCACAGGGCTGGCCTGCCGTAGCGACCTGAAAAACCAAAAGAGTCAGGGGCCCGTGACGAATTGTTCAGCCGGAAAGCTTGCAAATATGCAGAATCCCAATTGTGAACTGAAAGCGCTGCATGGCCAATAGCTGCATGTGTCTGGCTGCACTCAGCATCCGAACAACCGGCCAGCTCCAATGCCGCATCCACGACGGAAACTGGCCGAATGTCAGCAATGACAGCATGGTACCCAAGCACTTCTTCAATCAGTATTTTCGCGCCAAGAGTGAATACTTCTGCGTGCTCGCTCTTGCCGGCTAATAAAGTGATGTTCGCGTAGTTGCCAAACTCATCTTTGATGTACGAGCGGTTCTCCTTGGGCACGCCGTGTGGCAGGCAAAGTTGACTGGAACACCCCCATGCGAGGAAGGCGACAATTCGCCACCCGTGCATCTTCAGGCCATACACATGGCAGGTCTACAAGCTCTACAATGTAGTGGTGCATGAAGAAGCCAGCGCTCTGCTCTTCTGCAACGACAGCATGTCCAGCTTATCGCTGTCCTAATGGCTTGCAGTACTGCACTGACAGGCTGCGGTTGTTTCTCTGGATTGCATGGGCAGAAGCTGAGCAAAGTACTGCGGCGACATGAACTTATGCCAGCAACAACATGCCCGAAGAGCACTCCATGCAACAGTCGAACTGCCTTGGACATCGCACGGCATTGAATAGC